AAATGGCTCCCCGCTTGGTGCCCTCTTGGGCCTCAGGGTTTCCCTGCGCGGGGCTTCCCAGCCAAGCCTCACACCTTCCGCTCTTGTTGGGCTGCTCAGGAGCGCCAGAACTGTCTCTGGTCCCCGCAGGCGCCGCGCCCTTTGGAGGCCCTTCGACGGCCGACTTCGACGACGGGTTCTTACGCCGGAAGCAGCGCCGAAACAGGACGACCTTCACCTTGCAGCAGGTAGCCGGCGCCTTGCTCTGGGCCCCGCCGAATGCCCCCCAGGCGCGCGAGCCGACCCCCTTTCCAGGCCGGGCTGCCTGGCCGCCGAGAAGCCCAAGGTTCGCCCTTGAGTCCTCAGCCTGCCCGGGGCGCGGGACCCGGGGAATGGGCGCCGAGTCGTGAGTCTTGGAAGGCTGTGCGTCGAGGAGGGCGGCATCGCCTCCGGCGGGTGCAGGCCTCCGGCAAGGCCTCGGAGGAACTGGTTCTTCAAACAGACCAGCCGCGCTGCGAGGTCACTGCCTGAAGCGGGGGGTGGTGGGGCTAGGCTTATCAATAAGCGAGCCAGGTTTTCAGCCTGTGGCGAGGCTGGGGACTTGCCCAGGCCCGCAACGGAGAAGCCCGCTTGCCAGCCAGGCCCTTCTGAGGACGCGCCCCCCCCGCCGGGCCCTTTCCTTTTCTCGGAGGGAGGGAGAGGGAGGGTCAGCTTTGAGGCAGCTGGAAGGACGGAGCCCTTTGGCCTCAGAACAGCCCCAGCTCCCCCCCCCTCTCGCCTCCTCCTTTGGCTGATGTACCTGCTTGCTCTTTAACCAGCTGGAAGCGCTAGAAGCCGTTTTCGCTCAGACCCACTACCCAGACGTGTTTACGAGGGAAGAGCTGGCCATGAAGATCAACCTCACGGAAGCCCGCGTCCAGGTAAACAAGGGCCTGCCAGCAAGGAGCCTTGGGCCAGCCGGCAGAAAGTTTTCTTCGCTCTCCCTCTCCCCCTCCCCCTCCCCCCCTTTGACATCATCCAATTTGCCCAATGCTGCCTGTGAGGAGAGGACCCATTTGCACATTTGGGCAAAGAAAGCAAATGAAGCCAATCTGTCATTTTCATGATGCACTTTAATAACATCAACATAATGTGGAATATTAGATTAGGTTGATTAATCGGTCATTCATAATTAACCAGTGATAATGTTCTACACTAATTTGTCCATGTCTCTAAGGTACTAAATTACATCAATGCACATCCATTTCCTCGCTTTGAAGGGGGGGAGGGGGGGAAGGGTGGGGTGCTGAGAATGGGTGAGACTCTCCCAGCCAGCTCTTCCTCCTCTGCAAAGCTGCCCTTCCGAGGAAATTGACTGACTCAGAGCACAGGGCAGGTCTCCCGCACCCGATGTGGACTCCACTGAAATAAAGGGAAGGAAGAGAACAGAATCCTTATTAGAAACCAAGCTCCCCTGAGTTAAAGGAGATTTCCTTCCAGGGAACTTTCTACACAGTGATTTGGGAGAATTATCAAGTACTTTTTTGTAGAGAGGTATAAGCCTGCCCAGTTTTTAACTAAGAAATCAGTCTCCTGCTGTTTTCTAGTGTTCTGCACAATATGAGCAAAGGTAGTCACTGGGGTAATTGAGAAGATATTTTTTTAAGCTTTATTAAAATTAATGCAACTAAATAATTTAGTAAATGCTTATCCTATCTAATAGGTTTATAGCAAGGGGATACTGTAGTTTTGCCTTGTATGCACTTGTCACAATGTATCTTTAATAGCCTTCTCTTGACTTTGTATCTGGGGATATAAATACAGTATATGGTTATATCAGAAAGTAAGTTTCATTAATATCAACAGCCAGGTCTTATTTTTAACCCCAGCAGTCCATCCTTTTGGGTGGAAATTCACCAGTTTAAGTTTAGAAATTTTAGGAGGATTCTTTGCAAAAGAAGACGTGTCTCTCTTTTCAGATCTCCGGAATCAATATGTATAAAGTTTATTTCTGGCATTCCCATAGTTTTTATTCTGTCTTATTAAGGACACACTCTCTGTAGTCAGGAGGTGAAATATGTTAAGAGTCACAGAGACGCATTTAAAGCAGAACTGTGGTTGACCCTTTTTACTGGAGACAAAACCAATTCTAACTTCCCGATGACCAATTAAAAAAACAAAGCAAGTTGATATGCAAATTATGGGAGATGGGGAAAGCTCCTGATGTGACAATAGTAGGTTTTTAAGTACAGTACTTAAGAAATTGCTTCTTCTAATGATGGGATGGCTCTCTGCACCTTATAGTTTGGCCCTCAAGGAACTATGATGAGAAGAAAGTATTAGATCTAGTTTGTCTCATGTGGAATGGGGTGAGACCAAGGCTCTTTAGGGTGGGTGCCACAGGTATTGCTTTCCTACCCTCCTCCTGATGGTGGAAGTGTCATGGAGAGGCAGGAAAATGTCATGAATGATGCATATCTGTTATGAAGTTGATGCTGTGGTCATCCTGGATATCACTACAGCTGTTAAAGTTTTAGAACAAAGTGGTCAACCTGTGGCCCTTGATGTTGCTAAGTTGTAGTTCACTCCAGAGCTAACCAGCCATAGACAATAGTGAGGGTTCCTGGGAGATGCAATCCAAAAATATCTGGAGGACCACAAATTGTCCTCCCCAGCTTTAGAATATGGCCGCATTAGAAACCCTGAATAGGCCTCCTTTCCTGCAAATTTTAAAGAATAGGAGAAGAACATTGAGATCTCAGAAGGCATGTACATTCTTCCCTTTCCTGTCATAATGAGGATATTTATTGGAATCTTACAAAAATTCTGCCCCAGTCCTAAGCTTTCTACTGATGAAAGTTTTCTTCCTCTCTTCACTTAACAGAAGTACCTTTGGAATGTGTACGGACATCTTTAAAGTGCCCTGTACTCTCCTGTTCCCATCTGCCTTTATATGTTTTCATTAAGAAGAGAACATGTTAAGGAGTGGTGTGAACAGATCTCAGAAGCATGAACCAGGTGCTGAACAGCCCCCTCCCACACCCGGTTTAGTAATAAAACCCAGCCTTTCTCTCAACTCACATATGTTATTTATGGGGCTTTTCCTGCCTGCTGTTTTTGTCTTCTTTTTATGTAGGTGCTCGGGGTTAAGACTATGCAAAGATCTAATTGTAGGAAATATAATAGCATGCCTTTTCTTCCCCAGGGTCATGTTAGTATCTCTTAAAACCCAATGGCTAAGGAGAGATAATGGAATTCACTGCAGTAAATTGGGGATTGTAAACAAATTATTTCTTCTATAATCAGATTATGCAACCCTGATTATTAAATCTGAACATGAATCATTGCTCATGTGCAGGGAAATTAAACTGATTATTATTATTTGGACATTCAAATCTTCTTTTTGCCAGTACATTGGAGGTGATGGCTTGGGGTTTTCCCTCCCACCATTTTAACAATTGGTGCCTAAAGACTGCACTGCAAATTGAGATAAATGGAACAATTATTGGGCATTCAGAAGTGGAAGATCATAACTTCTCCCTGAAAGGTGCAAGGGCGAGATAGGGGTGGTAACAATTAGAGTGTTTAGCCTTGTTGTGGGCTATTATGCAAGCACACAATAGAGGCTAAGGTTTGCTTTCATGCTGGGACATGGGGAAACAGGGGAAGGGAGACATGTTTACATTTCTGCCCCTTGCTCATTCAAATATGATTAATGTGCTGGGAAGCCACATCTTAATCGAAGATGATGTTGTCAAACAAAAACTAAATAGGGAAATAAACGACTTCATCAGACCCTTTCTTCAGAAGCCGGCAAACTGTCATTGCAAAGTCATTAAAATATGATAATGAAAAATAGCTCAATTAAATGTTGTTATAGCTGTGACCTTCATTCAATTAAGACACAAGGAAGTGTCTGCAATTGGCTTTGCATTTAACTCTCCTAAATTTAGAATGCAGATAAAATCATCATTTAGCCTTTGCTGATACATGCAATTAAAAGCATGCTAAATAAAAATGGGATGATAATAAGAACAACAATACACAGCACATTGCAATAATCTTTCAAATTGTGTATTTCCTTAGTTATGGCTCAGAAAGCCAGATTTTCTATAGTTCTGGACATTATTATGCCTATAGATAAATCTAGCTCTCTGAGCTAAGCTATTTCAGTATAAAATAATAGGGAGTCCAGTCATGTCTTCATTTGTCTCTAGTAAAACTAAAGCCAAGCACCGAGGTATAACAGGATTGTAGATTCACTTGTTATAGCCGAATTAAATTGAAGTACTTGGATTTCAGCAACTTAATCCCACCGAGATAAGTGGGATAGAAGATGCTCAGCTGCAAACCATTCTAAACTTTGCTTTGGGATTTCAGAATGAGCAATTGAGTCTGTTATTGCTCTTGGTGCTCAGTGTGGAGCTATGGGATGAACATGAAAATAAAAAAGATTATTGCTGAAAGCAGGAAAAAAATTCTCTCTTAACTGAATCAGCTAATCTAAGAGCCAAACTATATGTAACAATCTGCATTAATGTAGTTAATGCACTCAGTTAATGTTATATTCATTTAACAACAATTATCCCTTCAATTCAACATGTTATGTTAAATCTTCACATCCTTCCATGTTCACTTATGCTCCAGAATGCCAGCAAATTGCAACTATTTTGGGATGTGTCCTCAGCCAATGGCAGCAATTGTTTAGGACACTCAGGCAGTATGAATTTCATATAGTACCCAAGTATTGGCTAGTTCCAGTTTCACTACTACCTTGGTTCGCAGCCAGTGGCAGAGTGATGGATTCAGGCTCCTGATTTGTCTCTTCACTGTAGTAGATACATGGGGTTATGCTGCTGGAATGACAATATAGTTTAAACTACCATTCAGTGTTGGAACTCCTTGCTTGCACAGATCTTTGGCAGGCTTGTAAATTTATAATTAAAGATAATTTATTGTATATATTCTGGAACCTGTACCTTTAGCAGCAGAGGTGGCTCCCTCCCATTCCAACTGGAATTGGTGTCTTTGCCTGCTTGTGCTTTTTTTTTTTGCCACCAGTTGGCTGATTTGTCAGCTGAAAATATCACCATGAACTAAAGAATGCTGGGACTTGTAGTTCTGGTGCTTAATATCAAACATCAAAGACCTGTTGATCAAATTTGCCTATAATTCATTCTTGATCTAGAAGATTGCCATATTTATTCAGCAAGAAATATTGAACATTTTCATTTGTTTTAATGGCTCAGTGGCAGTGGCTCTGTTGAGGCACTCTGCACATTCTTACTTTATATGTTCCATAAGAGAGAGCCTGGCGTTAATGAAGAACCACTGTATGCCATGGGGACTGGGAAACCAGATTCCTTCTCTTCCTCTTTTTCTGGGATTAGCCAAGATACTATCTCCTCATTCCTCTTCTCTCCAGTTCAGACAAGTATTTAAACCTTCAGATGCATCCATAATTCAAAACAAGCCCAGATAGACGGAGTGTTTGTGTGTGTGCATGTGTGCATGCATGTGCACACAATTACAATGGTGGAAGGATTTGAAATGCACCGAATTTTCTTTCACTTTTCTATCTGGGGTGAGGAATACCAAGGCATGTCTGATGGGACATGCAAGGTGGTGGGACTAGAAGCTTTGCAGCATCCTGAGTCACGACTCTTCTCTTCAAGCAATTTTAAAAGAAGAGTCAGCTCTTGTGCATTAAAGAGGGAGGAACAGAAAGTACAGTTAGAATCAGCGCAAAGGGGGAAAGAAGAAAGAAAAGAAGCCTTTGGCCTCTTGTGGAGCTAAATGTGGTAGTTAGTATTAGTGGCATAATCTAAATGAGGCTTTCCCTGAAGACTTCTGATAAATTTATATATATATACAAAATGATAAGATGGAATATATATGTTGCAGAATAATGAGACACTCACTTATATTACGTGTGTGTGTGTGTGTGTGTGTGTGTGTGTGTGTGTGTGGTGTGTGTGTGTCTTCCATCATACTAGTGCAGATTTTGTCTGAAGAGCTGGATATTTTTTAATTCTTCTAAAATATGGCAACGGAGTAGATTTTATTAAAAACAGGATCAAAATTAGCATGAATAAGAAGGACACCATCCACTCTGTATAAGACCAATCTTTACTTAAACTATTCAAGTGTAATACTTGCCCTTTATTGTAAATACATTTCTTTTGTAGGGCAAGGGCAGTTTCTCCAGTAGATTTGGCATTTGGATTTGGCATTTCAAACCCATTCTATTCCTTTCTCTCTCTCTCTGGCAGTCCACTGCATTCACTCTTATTTAGTCGACCCGCTCTCTCCAGGTTTCATCCACGTAAGGTGTCTGCGTAGGCAGCAAGAGCTGAGCTTCTGTGAAACATGGGAAGGGAAGTTTCATTCTTTCTGTTCCTGACCTAGACACTGATTTCTTCTTTCACTATGTGCACTTTCAAGAGTTTCCCATTGGTGCCAATTAGAACTAAAGATAAATTTATTGTTCTTTGTGATTTTGCACTGACAGCATTATCAGTTTCATGGTAAAAGAAATACAAGCATTTGCTTATTCTTTTTTCCCCTTTGTCAGACTTTTGTGCTTAAACTTCCAAATGAATGGATATAACTCTGTGCTAACATGAAGCATTTCATTTGCTTCCTTGAATAAGGGCCTCAGACAGGAACCCATATTCCTGCTGTGCATTCTGACAAAGTTGGGTTTTCATTTGGAGAAGGAAGAAGCCCTCTTAACAATCAAATCAGTATGATAGGATTACACAAAGCAAATAAGTAAGGGATAAATGGTAATTGATGACTGAGTGAAAGGTTGTCTGTTTATATTCTTCTTCCTGATTCAGGTCTGGTTTCAAAACAGAAGGGCCAAATGGAGAAAAACTGAGAGAGGGGCTTCTGATCAGGAAGGGCCTAAAGAGACAATGGCTGAAGTGACACCCGCAGGAAGGAATTTAAACTCTCCCTCCCCAGTTGATCATACCAGAAATAAGAAGGAGAATCTAGAGATTCAACAGAGGTAGGTTTGTCCTCTGTAGCTCTCATCATTATATTTAATGGCTGGAATCCAGTAATGTTGCACCTAGAGTAAGTCTTTTCAGTCAGTGGGACTTATGGAGGTGTTGACTCACCACAGATGGAATGGGGCTACTCTGGTTATCACTTCTGGATTTAAAGCACTATGTTATTAGCACCTGCAAACAATTATGTGGCACCTTAAAACACATTCAGTGTGGCAATTTAGTAACCAGAGCCCACTACATCTAATAAATGGATGAAATATTGTTCCCATTGGCATGCTGTATCTGATTCATGTGTACAGACATATTTGTAAATTACATTCAGATGTTGACTGCAGCCCTACAGAGACTTAGTTGGAGTAAATATTTGTGGATTAAATGGGGTTTACCTTTGTGTAAACATATACAGTGGTACCTCACCAGATGACGACCCCGCTAAACGATGAATCCGCATAACAATGACTTTTTGCGATCGCTATAGCGATTTGCAAAACAGTCATTCCAATGGGTGATTTTTGCTTGACCACGATTTGGTCCGTGCTTCGCGAACCGTTTGTTTGCAAGAGGACAATTTCTACAGCTGATTGGCAGCTTTGCAAAATGGCTGCCCTGTGTTTTCTGGACCCATGCTTCGCAGGACAGCCATTTATACAGCTGATCGGCGCTTCGCAGAATGGCTGCCCTATGGGCAGTCTTCGCAAAACGATGAGGTATTTTCCCCCATTGGAACACATTAAATGGGTTTCAATGCATTCCAATGGTGAAATGGTTTTCGCATGACGATGATTTCGCTAAACAGCGATTTCTATAGGACGGATTATCATCATCATGTGGGGCACCACTGTATAGGATTGCTGTTTAGTGTTTTTATATGGTGATAGGCTTTCTACACTTATCATGACCTACATCTGTAAAAAGATAAGCACATACATTCTGAGCCAATTTATGTTCCTGGACACTCTTTATAGGTGGTACTGCCATGTAGAAACTGTGCCTGGTAATGGAAGAGTTATTGTGGCTGCCCTCCCAGAGTTGTTATGAGGCTGGATGACATAAGAACAGAGTCCACTCTTTTCCTGTAGGGCCTTAGTGTTAGGTACCTTCAGCATAGGTGTTTGTTGGTAATCTCTATCATTTTTCTTGCAGCCTTAGCAGAGGAGTTGGCCCTTCTGGTCCCTTTTTCCCCTCATGTCTACCAGGGACTCTCCTCAATACAGCCACATATGCACAGGCTTTGTCGCAAGTTGCATCCCTCAAAGGTAAGGGTCTCTGTTTAACCTCACATGTGGGGCAGTAAGAATTCAGTGGTTTCAAGCTATCCTCTTTGGAGGCAAATATATGACTGATTTGAGTTGGACTGTTTGGCATAATGGTTGCAAAACGGATGTCTTTAAACATAACATTTTGCTTTCCTGTTTTGATGTTAAGATTAAATATTCTGTTTGGTTTCATTAGAACTACAATTTTTATACACTTGCTCGGGAAAATAATAAGCACTTATGTTGGCCAAGTATCTAACATAGCTGGGTTTTTGGAAATAAGAATCCGATTTACAAACTAACCAGTCAAAAGCTTGGATTGAGAAGGAGATAGCCCCATGATAGCCACTGGATTGGATCAGGAACCCCAAAATCTTTATGTAAGCCTTCAGAAAATATATACGTTGTAAAGGAAATACTGTAAATAATTGCAGGATAAGTCACATACTTCTGCCTCTTTCTTTTTCATGCATCTTTGTGCTGCATGGAAATAGCTGTCTTCCTGCACTGAGTTTGTTCTTGCTGGAAATGATGGGATTTCATTATTACGTCACAAGATTGCAGTGTTGGCAAAGCCAATCTACATTCTACAGGTCAATTTAAAAAATGCCAAAACAAAACAGTATAACGTTGAAACTGGACTTTGAAACAGCACCAGAATGGGCACAAATGTAGCAGACAGTCTGCCCTTGCTCTCTATCAAATTTACAAATGTTTGGACAAAGGTTTTTTGAGTTAAAATTGTTTAAAAGTAATTTTTTACCCCTTGTGCAGAAAGAAGCAACCTTGACTACCCCCAGATTAAAAAAGATCAAATAAATTGAAAATACCAATCTTCCTGATATTGAAAGAGAATGATTGGCTTCACCTGCTTTTTTAAAAAAAATAAGTTGGAAGGAATCCAGGCTGAAGTGGCTGAAACATTGATCTTCAAAAAGGCCTTACAAAATGGTGAAATAGTAACTTTCTTATAAACTGAGCATGTGTGGAACAGACTACCCCCCCCAGACTGTTCCAAAGGTGATACATTGTTGCAGCTGTCTGGGAAGGGAGATGTTGGAGGTCAATGAAAGGTCACAGAAATAGTCAAAATACAAGCTTTCTTTGAAGAGTAAAAAACAAAAACAAAAAAACAAGTGTGCTTTAAATAAAATAATGGCATATCAGTGCTCCAGAAAGGGACATTTTGCCATGTGTCTCCAGAGAATTAGCAGACAATTTTGTAAGGCATTTTCAAAGTATTTCTATATTACAAAAGCACAGAGCAGTTGTGTTTGTCCAACCCTGAGTACTTTCAGTAAGCATTTCTGAAACTAGGCTTTTGACACCAGTTTGAAAAAGAGGAAATCATCTCCAGGCCAGGGGCAATCAGAACTGTTCACCTTGTCAATCAGGACTGAAGTAGTTGACTCTAAGGAGGATAACTTTTTAACTCCTTCCCTGCCAAAGAGCCATTGGTGCTGCGAAAGGGATTCTGTGTCCAATTGTAAAAATATTTAAAAAATATTTTTAAAAGAATAGAGAGCAGATACTCAGAAGCTCATTCATTTAAGCTGTGAAATTACTGTTTTTGCTTTGCAGTGGTTTCACTCAATGTTAGCAGAGCTTTGGTGCTATATCCTGTCATAGTCTCAACCATTCCACCCATCTTCTCACTATACAATTGATTGGTAATTCAGAAGAAAACCTCTAAAGTTGTTATGTGCCATCAAATTACTTCTGATGTGTGGCGAGTTAATGACCTTCAACATGTCCTATCATTAACAGTTCTGCTCTGATCTTTCAATCCAACAACATCTCATATTAGGTTGTTTTCATCCGTCTGCCCCCCTCCCAGCAATATCGTCTTCCCTTGTAAATTCTGCAAACTAACAACTCTGGTTTTCTTTTTGAGACCATATTAGGTACTGTATTTTTCTCTTCCTACTAAAGCCACCCCTTTTCCCAGCAATATTGTCTTTTCTGGTCACTTCTGTATTTTCATTATATGTACATGATAGGATAACCTTAGTTTACTCATTTTTGCTCTAGTGAGAGTTCAGTCCTGACTTGATTGAGCACCCATTTGTCCTTTCTGCTTGTCTGTGGCATCTCTAGGGCTCTCTTCCAACACCACATTTCAAATTTTATTTATGTATTTGATTTTTATACCACCTATCTGGCTACCAAGACCACTCTGGGTGGTTTACAAATAATGAATTGTTTTCTGTCCCTGCCTTTCTTTACTGACTTTTTTTCACATAGTATGATTGATTTTGACCTTGGTTTCCAGTGGCAATCTTTGCTGACTCTGGAAATCCCCCCCTTTTTTTAATTTCAAAAGGCAAAGGGTAATCTTTTGGAAAATATGCACACAACATGTTCGTACAGCCTTTTGTTTGATACAGTTTTTATTTTCTCAGGTTGAGTTACCCAAGAAAGGGTTTGGAAATTTGAACATAGCTTTCTAGCCTGCATTCTGCAGAGTGGACACGGCAACATTAGTTTACTGAGAGGTTCAAACCTGTCAAAAACAGCCATGACAATTGCTTTGTGTTTAGGGAAGAAGTGGTTAACTGATGAAAAAGGGTCAACTTCTGAAATTTTCCCTTGTTTGGTGTCATTTTGTGAATAAAGGGTCAACTTCTGAAATTTTCTCTTGCTTGGTGTCATTTTGTGAATTGTAGTGATCACAAGGTAGAGCATTTTAACTGCTGCCATTGGTGTTATCAGTATTCAGGCTGCCCTTTGCTATGTAAAGCCTGGCATCATTTTTCCTGCTGTAAACAAGGGCTTGATGTTGTGCATCAATATCAGGCCATTTCCTGGACTTCTGAAATTTTCTCTTGCTTGGTGTCATTTTGTGAATTGTAGTGATCACAAGGTAGAGCATTTTAACTGCTGCCATTGGTGTTATCAGTATTCAGGCTGCCCTTTGCTATGTAAAGCCTGGCATCATTTTTCCTGCTGTAAACAAGGGCTTGATGTTGTGCATCAATATCAGGCCATTTCCTGGTCGTAAACAAGGGCTTGATGTTGTGAATCAATATCAGGTCATTTCCTGTGTTTTGAATCATGGATACAGAAGCACAATATTTCACATTCGTAAACTGGAAGGTTTTTTTTGTTTTTGTTTTTAAATGTATATCCTTACTTTTCTTGTGTGAAAATAGGGTCTTTCTTCTTTTATCTGGATAGGGACAGGCAGACTCCTTAATAGCACGAGGAGCCTTCATCTTAAGAATCTGTTTAGGTCCATCCCTAAGACAGAATATTACATCCATGTCCACCAAGAAGGCACCCCAGCTTCCTGATTTAGGCAACCTGCTGCAGTGTTCAATAGCTCTTAGGCAGAATCTACATCACAAGCCCTTCTATGATGCAAGATTGGTGTGTCATATTTTAAATAGTGGAATTGTTTCTTGTTGGGAACAGAGCACTGAATACCATGTAATGTCCTTTCTTTTCCTTATGTCTTTCAATGCTACACCCAAATATGTACTGCTTACATTAGGAACGGTGCTTGCAAAACCTTACAGTCTGAGTTCTAATGGTAGTTTGCACTATGCCAAACTTGCATTTTTTAAAAAAATGGAAGTGGCCCTACTGCTCCAAAAACAAACAAACAAACAAACAAAAAAATGGAAATGGTGGTGGTAGAAGGAGCTCTACTGCTCCAAAAAAACCCACAAAACAAAACCCATGTTGTTTAATACATGTGTATTAGCGAAGAGCGAAGGTCTGCATAAATAGAGAATAATAGGGATTTTTAAACAACAGCTACATAATCTCCACCTTATATTTCTATTGTTACTCTTAAAAATCTAAAATGAACTTCAACCCACTCTTGCAAGTCAGCAGAAAACCCAGCACACCCATCATGATTTTCTGAGCACAAGCTGACCCTGTTAAACAAGCAGTAGACACCACTGAAGTCTGAGTGGCTGGCTTCTGATATGGCATGTATGTGATCAGCTTGTACAAATAGGAAAGAATGGGGGGGGGTAGCTGTCAAGACAAGAAAACACATTCCAGACTTCTATTTCTTCAAAAGAATCTGGAAGTGAGGGTGAGGAAACACCACTGATTTTACTCTGCTTCATTCAGGAAGCAGAAAAAGAAAAGGAGAGAAGTTATTTGGAAGAAGTAGGAAACACCATTGAGGAAGGCAGATTGCTGTCTTTCTCCAGAATTATAAGAAGCGAAAGGGGGAGAAGGATGATAATGTAGACTATACTACAGTATAAGGTTGTATAATCAGGAACACTGGGAAAAATGGATTGCATTGTTCCTAGCTATTATGTGCTCTTTCCTTCCCCCTGCTGTAAGACGCTGTTGCTTTTCCCACCTATCTGTGCACACAGAATGCCAGGCACTAAAAAAAGATTACTGAGAAAGCATGTTCTGCAGGGAGGTTCTGTCAAAGTACAACACTTGGGTGTGAGCCCTATGCTTACCATGCATGTGTTCTCCCTCCGTGTGCTGCTTCTGAAGGAGGGACTTTGGCCAATAGCTTAGTCTTCAGTATTTTGCCTTTTCTGTTCTTTTTCAGATTAGCCTCTAGCAAATTACAGCACCTTTGGATACGTCACCCAAATGTATATATGCAGGGAAATAAATTTGAATAAACAAACTGAATCATGAGTCACTATTAAGCTGTGGTTTTATTTTCTGGTAATGTTCTTGCAGTGCAGGCGAGGGCACCCACTAAGATTGTGATGATGAAGAGAGGCTCCTTGGAAGGTTTTGATTCCTGTTTATGAGGCTAGGAAAGAATTCCCCTGATTGGTCAGACAGAGGGAAACCCTCCAGGATATTTATGCCTCTCCCCATAGTTAATGGATTGTTTTACTTCCTTGTGCAATTTAAATTGATTCTTTCAAGCAAGCAGGCTCTTTGCTAGAAGAAGAACCTGTCGGTCACTAAATGCATCATTGGAAGTTGCTTTATTGTTTTTTTTTTAAATCTAGAAATAGCAAGTGTAGAAGCAGCTGACCAATGTTACTGCCATGGGAACATGC